CGGTATTCCAAAACATGAATCTGGGCACCATGACATCAGATGGTAAAAAAATAAAATAAAAAATAAAAATTAATAAGTCTGATTTGGTACTAATCACTATTCTAAAGACAATAGAGAGTAATTAAAAAAGAAAAGAAAGAAAGATATAATTCCTGGATTTTTTTTTATATCTTGTTAGGAAATTTGCAACATTTTCATCTCTACAAGCTCAAGTCTGTTCCCCAGTACAAAAGAAACTTCTTGATCTGACATTGCTCCCCACCTACACCCCAAACCATACCCTATCACTTCCCCTTGCACAACCAGACTCTTCAAAGTGGTATCATGTCCAGCATGGTCAATCAATCCAGTCCTCAACTGCAGTATGGGTTCTGCCCACATTACTCCATGAAACTGTTTGGGCAAAGGTCACAAAAGGTGGCATCCACTGAAAAGAATCTCTCCTATGCCCACCTCCCAGTCACCCTTCCATACAGACAATTATGTAAGAACTTTGTGTTATTCCAGAGATATTTTATACACACTATACAATAAAATATAACATGTCTTTCTTTTTTACATGAAATTACTATGATGTACTCACGGTTTTGTATTTACTTCTAAAAACAGATGTATCTTGGTAATCTTTCCATATAAAGAAGTTATTCTTCTTTATTAAAGTGCAAGATTTTCTATCATATTGAGCTAATAAAACATAGTTAACTAGCTTGCTTTTAATGAACATTTAATAGTTTTTTTTTTATATTTTGATATTTTGCTATTACAAACAATGCTGTAATGAATATATGTCACTCCATACTAGTCCGAGAATAATTGCAGAAGAATTGGAAGTGCTGGGTCAAAGGTATTTGAGTTAATGACTATAATATGTTGCCAAATTATTTTTACTCCTGCCAGAAATGTGGCAAATGCTTCTCTACCCTACCCAAATTTGCTTTTTGCTAGTTTGACAGGTGAAAAGCAGTGATCATCTTTTTTTTATGTTTAAGAGCAATTTAAGATTATTTTTTTAGACATAAATCCTATCTTGATCTTTCTGATAGCTCAAATCATCTTTGGCATACAGCTCAAACTCCTGAGATGGCTTTTTCTCTCCTCCGGCCTCCTTTGTCACTGCACACCTCCCCACACTCAGCACTCCAGGCACCGAGCTTCTCTCTGTTCCTGAAACACTTTTCGTTGCCTCAGCAGGCTGCCTCAGCAGGCTGCCAGCAGGTCCAGCACCCCAGACCTCATGTGGTTAATAAGTACTGTTCCTTAGGAGTGAGCTCCTCAGAGAAGTCTTCCACGCTCTCCACTTCCACCTGGCCCCCGCTTAGTTCAACTGGGTCCTCGTGATTTTTCTATCTTTAGTCTGATTCTTGACAGGATACAGACCCTCAACAGACATTTGTTGAATGATTGAAGGGCTTAATATGACTGCAATTAAATAGCCCTGGTAATTTTATAATGTATACTAGTATATATATTCTGTTTTTTAAGCACAATTTCAGCTGCCAAATGAAAATTTCCAGATACACTTATCCTTATTCTATTGCTATCCATGAATTTTATCTCTTTTTTCCCCCTTTCCCTCCTCTGAATTAAAAACAGCCAGAGAAGTAAATGCCTCTCAGAGTTCATAAAATTCAAAGTTATTTTGTTTAGCAATGTGATGGTTCAAGGGAAGTATGCTTTTTGTGGTGGCTTTCATTAAAGAAAAAAAAAATAAAAAATTTGAGTCACTGTATACTAGAAGTTCTAACTTTCTTTTAATGAGAATGGAAAGTAGTTGGCTTGTTCATTGGGAGTCGTTAATGCTGACTGGCTTGACCTGAACATCATGGCTCAGGGCCTGATTCCCTTCAGTATAGACAGACTTCTTTTCTTATTCCAGTTTGGCTCCAAGCAAAACTGACTTCCATGTCATGCTTTTGGAGTGTCTGTTCTGGTACAGAGAAGGCTACAGTCCTCGGCCTCAGCAAACCTGCTTACTGGTCCCAAATCAGTCAAAAGTTAGCCACAGGACTGGAAAGTTCTCTCTTCAGCAAAGCAAGGGGTTCAGATTGGTTGCTAAGCTCCCCAGTAGTTCTGTCATTTTTTAATTAAATTTTTTTTCTATTAGAATTTACTAAAATATTTAACACCTTACAAGGAAAAAATGATTTTCTAACAATTCAGTTTTTCATTCATTTCTCAAATGGTTCCACACGTATTCTTGGGCAAATGATGTCATGTTAAGTAGTAAAGCCAAATTTTATCAGCTAATTAGATCCATCTTTTTATGTAGTTACACCATTTCCTTGCATATATCCATGTATATATTCCTACGGTGCCCTGAGCGGTGTCTCCCTTTAGTCCCGGATCCCTAAGAAACATTCCAGGCCTCACTTCCAGGCATAAAGGGAGCCTGAGATTCTCTAGTGCTGCTGCCCCCATCTCTAAAAATTTTGGAATCCTTTTCCACAAGCCTCTTTATCTCCCCTGAACTTAAACCTGAGAAGGCACGATGCAGTGGTTGCCACTTGGAGCAGAGGTGACACAGTGGCCAGCATCTCTCCTAGGCCTCCATAATTAAGCCTTCCCATAATATTCACAGTCACCAATATCTTACTACTCTGAGGCTGAGGACTAACGGCCTCTAAGATGAGGTGATTAAAACAAGCCAAGAAAAAGTTCAATTAGGCCTGCATAGCTTAAAGAATTTAGAGTTTGTTTGTTTTTTTAACACCTACTATGAGCCAGGTTCTACTTCATGCAATGGAATTAAGGCACGGATATGGTTAGAGTGCGCTTTTTAAGGCGACTGTCAGTGCTATGTGGATCAATGATTGTGGTATAGACCAAGGAGTTATAAGTGGGGCGAGATTCACTCACATTCACTTCCCAATTATATTGAATTTTAGTTTTGGCTAGCCAGGACCCTTACTGTAAATTCATTCAATAGATGTCTTTGCAGTGTTTTTATAAAAATATCCATTAGTCTCAGGTACTGTTTTAAATACCATTAGTCCCAGGGTAAACTAAGATATATAAATTGTGGCTATTGCTCTCTTAACAACTTATAATCACATATGTAAATATTAAGTAATAATAATGAGAGACAGAGAGTGACAAATGTCAGAACAAAAAACAAACAAAAAAAAATTAACATTCACTTGGGAAATTCCTGTTAGCAATAGCTGAGTGAAAATAGCAATTAGAGGGGGTAACCTAGTGCAACTGGATCAGGAAAGATGGGAAGAACTCAGGTTGTGGAAATGGGGACCAGAGTCCACAAACATGCCCTAGAACAGCTGCCCATGCCAAAAACAAGGGATGGAAGAGATTTGGCTAAAGCCGAGGGTATACGAAGATAGGGGTAAGAGAACTAAAGGGAATACAATGGCACTAGATCAGGGATGTTCTTGGTGAACAGGAGAATATCACCATGCCAATTTGTAAACAAGGGTAAAGTTCTACCCAGAAATACTGAAAGCATGGGGGAATGTAATAGCACTTTATATTTTATTTTTATCAAATTAATCATATATAAAAGTATTTTGATACTTGAAAAATGTGTTTTTCTGGAACATTCACATATAGAAAACCACTGGAAAAATACTGACTATACATTGGGTTTTACTGTTGTACTATTTCTGAATCGTGCTGGGTTATTTTCCTAGTGGGTTTCCCTAAACTTCACATATGTGGTATTGACCATCCCCTTGGGACTCTAAACAAGAGAGTGCTCTAAGTGGGTAGTGGCATCTTGACCCACGCTGTGGCAGAGGCCAGGGAGGCGAGGCATAATTGCGGTGGTCTGGGAGGCACAGGCTGTCTCTTGTGGAAGGGCCATGGCTATCACTTAGAAATGGCATCCCTCCAGAGGCACGAGAATGTCACAGCTCAAAGTTGTACATTCTTCCAGAGCCATTGGGGAGTACAAAGGGTTACTCTAATCTATGATATGGGTGCTGTGTTTCAAATGGGGATTTGTTCCTTTGGGCTTCCTGTGATTGGTGATGTCTGCTGCAACCTTTTGTAACTTGGTTCTCCATGGATTTTGCTCCAACCAAGTGCTATCGTTGAAGTCCTTTTTCTGTGACCTTACCATCCCATTGCAGCAGAGTTATACTGAGGGAATCTTTTTACTTCAAATTTATAATTTTTATATTACACAAAATATGTCCATCAACTATTTTTTATTAGTTGCCTTTGAGGAGTTAAGATGTCAAAATCTGACAAAAGATAGCATAAAAGCAAATGTATATACATATGTACCGGTAGTATATATGTGTATGTATATGGGTGTGTGTGTGTGTGTGTGTGTATATATGTATATATATGTACGTGAAATTTTCATATGTAAAATCAAACTCAAGGGAACAGAGACTTTTATTCCATAGTTGGAATCTTAGCCTCTAATAAGAAACTGTATCTTCCTATGACTTACAAATGTGAAATAAGAATTTTTTATATTTTAGTAGGATGTTGACCAGAATTCCAATAAAATTTTCCTTTAGCCTGTGTCTTACTCACAGGCAACAGGTCAGAGCCTATTAGAGCCTACAGAAGAAGAATGGGCGCTTCTCCCAACCCCCTCCCAGCTGGCCCAATTGTAGAGAGTAATTCTAAACCAACATATATTGAAGCCATCAACACCGGTCCGAAAAACATGTAGATGCTATTTCAGGGTGTCTCATTCCAAGAATGTGTTTTCTTTCTGTATGTGGTTTCTTTTAAATGTGCAATACTTTACTGCCCAGGTTTGCGAGAAGAAAAAAAAATAAAATAAGGAGGGATACATGTAATTAAAATAAAACCAGGGCCATAGGAGACTGTTTATAGAACGGTGAAATGTTTTCACTCAAAAAAAAAAAAAAAATCAGAAAATCTCAGTCACCCAAAGGAGAAGCCATTTATTTTTCTTCTATATAATTTATGCAGTGCCGAAGCCATGGGAACCCTGGCGTGGGGCCTCTGGCGGCAGGCTATGCTGTCAGTGCTCAGACACAGGGCCAGTGTTCTGCCAGGCTCACCTGCTAGGGGTAGCTTTAATTCTTTCCTTGACCTTTGGTGAAGAAAATCATTCTCAGCTAAGGTCGCTGACAGACTGAACTGAGATCCTGAGAATTTCCTGCTCAGTGGTCTGAAACAGAGTCTATTGGTAAGAAGCGTGGGTCATCTTTAAGAAACCAGACAAAAGCTAGCTGCCACTATCTGAACCCCCCATCCCACCCACTGACAGACACTTGGATCGATGTAATCCTGAGGTGCTGATAAGGAATGAGAAATAATTGGAAAGATTAAAATAACCAGTTGCAACAAGAAGTCAAAGATAACAATTTATCACTGCAGCATCAGAGGGTCAATGTGTTTTCCCTAAATGCTTTTAAAATTCAAGAGGCCAAGTAAGTCAAAGTCTGTTCTTCTGGACGATATTTGCTTCCATCATTAGCCAATTTTAGTGGGGTTTGTTTTCGCAGGGATTTAGGAAGTCCACCCAGGCGTATTTGATATTTCCTAGTCATTTTTAAGGTGTCCAGATAATCTTCTCTTCCTTCTCTCACTTCTGACTGCCTACCCCACATTGTTCATAACTTATCCCTACTTCTTCTCTCAAGAGTAAATCATTACTTCCTCCCCAAAATGTCAGGGTTTCCAGACGCCAGGGACCACTGCCAGGTCATGTGAAGCCGTTCTCTGCCTGTGAGCTGCCCCTGTACGTCACCTGTTCTCCTCCTCTCCAGTAGACAGCCCGGAGAGGGGATCACCACACCGAAGCAAACTTCAGTGAAGCTATGGTGATAGGGGACATTTGGAGTCACTAAAAAAGTTCCATCTGGACCCCCACATGTTCCCGCCATAAGAATGTTTTCCCTTAAGCTCTGAGAGATGAGTCAGAGATAGCAAAAGTGAGAGCTGGAAAAAATGATTCTCCCAGGAGACCTGGCAGTGAAAATGTGCCTTCAAAGCAAGCTCTTCATGGAAAATGTCCTTTCTCAAGAACACCAAATCTACTAATTATGCAAGAAAACTTCGGGTTGGCCATAGCTACCCAAATGCGTTAGTGTCTGTCAGCCTGCCAAAGTGTGGCTTTTGGAAATACCATTTGCTCAGTCTGTTTTTCTCATAGGACTTATGGACACACATTGCAGCAACTCTGTGGCCTTCCCAGTTACAGCATATATCAGTTAAACTTAGCATTATGGCTTGACCACATTCCGATGAGTCTGGCTCTACATTGCTGAAGGGGAATGCAAACTTGGCCCACTATCCCCTGCGTCTGTTACAGATGCTGTCACTCCACTCCTCAGAGCCTTCTATCTAAACCAAGTGCAGATCTTTCCACAGAGCAGGATAGTTGACTCGGCATCCAGCAAAGGCAAGCTCATTTCATATATGGTTTTGAGTGAGGCCCTTAACATCACATCAAAGGTACCTTAATAGATTTTGAATCTTGGGAAGATAGTTTGTGCTCAGTTTTGCTATTTAGTGTTTATTTTGCATTCTTATTCTTTAAATTTTGATGATTCAGGTAACATATACAGTTATCTTCTACTCACAAAGCATTTGATTAACTGGTCTTTGATTAGATCAGCGTTTTTCAACCGCTGTTCCGCGGCACACTAGTGTGCCGCGAGTTGTTGCCTGGTGTGCCGTAGGTGCAGACAAGACAAGAATTTTATAATTTTTCACTATTTTGTTTACTTAATATTTCATAATAAAGTAATTATAAAATACTTTATTTGTGTTTATTTGATTTCTATTCAAGAGAATTACTTTATATATAGTCAATATAGGCACAGAGTTAAATTTTTTAACATTTTCTAATGGTGGTGTGCCTCGTGATTTTTTTCATGAAACAAGTGTGCCTTTGCCCAAAAAAGGTTGAAAAACACTGGATTAGATGATACCTTTGACAGCATGTAATTCATTATTGTCTGCTGCTTGATTTTACTATGAGGGAAGTATGGGGGGGGGAGTATGTTTTCTTAAACAGACATTTAATTATTCTGTTTATTCTCTGAAATTAGGCTTTTCAAATATGCAAGGGTTAAACAGGGAAAAGATGGTATAGCCATGCACTTGTCATCTTCTGGGCATCTCAAACTCACTCATGGTCCACTTGACCTCCCACCCAGATACCTGTTTTTTCTTCTGTGGTCCCTCTCTGTGATTGGCTCTTCAGCAGGTCTGAGATGTCTCATTGGTTACCCAAATCTCACCAATTCCACTTCCAAAACCTCTTCTGCCATGGCTTTAACTCAGTTCATTCCCATCTATTTCCCTGTCTATCCATTCACTTCCTCTCCAGCTTATATTTCCCCTCCACTCTTCATGTGGAATCATCCCCCTGAAACATTAATTTAAGCCTGTCACTGAATGGCTCAGAATCTTTTAATGCCTTTTTACTTCCCATAAAAAAAATGCCTTGTTTACTAGAGTGATCCGTAAAGCCCTTTGGAGCTAACTGTCTCCTTCTTCTGTTTCACCTTTGCTATTGTCTTCCTCTAGTATTTTAGTTCAGAAATATTTAAACAATTGTAATTTCCCAAATCTTTCATTTTTTTCTTGCTCTTACCTTTGAACGTTCTGAATGAAATGTTTATCCATTTTTGTGTTGAGTAAACTTCTACTTATCCTTCAAAACCCTGCCTCTTTAAATCTTTTTCTTGAATCTTCTTATATTATTATATGTATTATTCTGTGTTATAAATAAACATTAGCTCATTTAAGTTGTCTTTCTTTAGATTTAAAAATTGTCTGGCAAGGCTTATTAGTTATTAATGTGTATTGAATTGAATATGGTGGAAAATTTTTATAAAATTTGCAATAGCAGAAAAAGTAGCTGAGAACTAAATCATGTTGCCTAGATGGTATTATTGAACTGGGAAGCTAAACCCATATTCTCAAAGCTTAGAAGTGTAAGCAAAAAACACAGGTTGGGCTGCCTGCTGCAATGGAAAGCCTAGCTGGTGAGACAGGCTCTGGTGTCAATAGAAACAAGTTTTATTTAGAAATAAGGTCCTGGGAGAAAGGTGGACTTCTGTCTCAAAAACCATCTTCCCTTCCTGCTCAAGTGCCTCCCCCCCTCCCCTTTGTATCAGCGTAAGGAGAGGAGGGCTTTTGTTTCTATCTAATTATCTCGTTAGCTTTTGGGGAGTTTTGGTCCTGTACATCTTTCTAGCTTTTGGAGGGCTTGGGTCCTGTCCATTCATATTTCTAGCTTTTGGTGCACTCAGTATAAGAAACACCCATTCTCCCTCACGCCATCTTGGCCAATGGGGGAGATTCTCTGGCGCTCTATCTATGGTTACAGAAATATATTACATATGAGTTTACAGAAATATTTTATGTGTAATAATATGGTAACTGCTCAATGACTTCCCTTTTATTTTTCATGAACCTTAAATAATCTTTGTAGACACTTGGTTTATTATATTAGCCCATCTCCACTTACAGTGGCTATTCTTATTGTTTTAATACATTGCTTTCAGTTACAGTCTTTTAAGCAGTTACCCTGGCTTTTCTTATTTTGTTATCTCTTAAAGTTGAATGTTCTTATGCCTGTATTGTGTTGAAGTATTTCCTCATAATCTACCTGTAGCTATTCTTCAGAGTTTCAGTTTTACAGCTAAATGGAATTGTTAAAATATCATCTAATTTTGTGCTTGTGTTTTAATAATAGAGCAAACTGAGAAGCAAAGAAGTGTTTTGTGGGAGCTTGTGCAGCTGGTTGGTGGCCAAGCCAAGATCACCTGGTCTTCTGATTTACTTCCAAACCTGGTGCTATTTGTATTGCCCAGATAGTCTCTGTCTATTGGTCCACCTTCACTGATCTCTTCCTTATTCCAAATTTCTTTCAGACAAATCAGTTCCTTCACCAGATAGTATCTATTCTTCCTGTTTTCTCTATGTTCCTGGGTATTGGTTTGGGGAGATAGTGATACTTAACTGATTTTTCTATTTTTTTTTTAGTTCTAGGTTTCATGTTTAATATTTCTTCTATAAAAGTTGAAATGCTGCTTCTATAATATTTTAAAATTTCTTTGACTTGGATAAGGTTTTTGCTTTTCCTTATTTGATTGTGTGGTTTTTCTATATCCTTACTGGGTATAGGTTGACAAACCCAGAAGAAAGAAAAAGCAAGGAAGGATTTATTTAAACCATCTATTTTTTTATTTGTGTGGTTAAAATATCTTCTCCCTCTCATTTTTCTTTCCTCCTCATCTTATTTAATAGAAAACAATCTTAAATTTTGGTCAGCACATTCCATTTCTTTATAAGATATTATAAATTTCTTTATCTGGGTATTAACAGTCTTTACTTAAAAGAACTAATTTCATAGAATTCTCCAATATTCAGGTCAGACGACTCATAATACAAGCTATTTTTCCAAAGCTACCATTCCCTTTGAAGCACCCTCCCTCTGTGTTGAGTTTTTGCTTGAAGACATCCAAGCATAGGGAACTCAGTATTTCCATGAAATTACAACTGCCTTTGGACATGTACCTTTCAGAATCTTCTTTTCATCCCTTGGAATCAGTCTCTCACATTAATATAATTCTATCTTCAGAGCCATAAAAAACAACTCCAGTTCTACTTCCAGCCAGCTGATCATGTATTTGAAAGTAGCGTTCATTTCTCCCTGAGCCTGTTCTTCCTCAGGCTAAACATTCCCATTTCCTCTAAACCACTGTCCAATAATTTGGTTTTAAGTTTTCGTATAATCTTGATTGCCTATTAAAGGCCCAGAACTCATTGCAACTCCCCAGGTATCCTCTGACCAGAGAGGCAGAGCTCTCCCCTTTATTCCTGATCTGTGCAGTTACGCTTTTCATTCCAGGCACATTACAGTCAATTCACACTGAGTTGTTTGTTATGGGTTAAATTATGTCCTCCTCAAAAGATACATTGAAATACTAGCCCCCTGTACCTCAGAATGTGACCTTGTTTGGGAGCAGGGCCTTTGCAGAGGTAATTAAGTAAAATGAGGTCATTAGGGCGGGCCCTTATCCAATGTGTCTGGTGTCCTTATGAAAAGGGGAAATTAGGACATGGAGACAGACACGCACAGAGGGAAGATGTAAAGACACAGGGTGAAGATGGCCATGTGACTGAAGTGATGCATCTACAAGCCAAGGA